CGGGACCCATGGCTTTGGAGGCTTTCGCCTTCCCGATGGCCACCTGAACTTCACCGCAAGTGAAAGCAAGGGGGGCACAATTTGTTGGCAGTTTGTGCAGCCTTCTGGTATGAACTGCCGGCTAAAATAGCTCGCGCATCGCTCCGGGTCCGACGAAGCATGGTCGCCGAAGGAAATTTCGACTCTGTCGTCTTGCTTCGTCGGATTAGACAATGACCTCACGGTTGACCAAAGCTTGCTCACACCAGAGGTGAAATTACAAGTCTTCAGGTGCTCCTCCCACTTCTTCCGCTTATGACGATTTACAAGTTGCCGAATCTCGCGTTGAGATCCCTGATACGGGGATCTCCGGGATCGGCCTGACGAAGGCTATCACGCTCATATGCTAGAACAGCCGCTTCGGCAGGGAAGTTTGGACGTGAGTCCGATATACGTCCTGCCGGTATGAAGCGAGTTGCAGCAGCAGTGATAGCCCTGCGGAACTTACGTTCACCGAGATGGACGTCGGTTGGTGTGGGGAGCGCTGCGAAGGTGTTTTCAGTAAACTCCGCGTAACCTTTCCAATCAGCTTTGGAAAAGTTGATATAGGTCCGGTGTTTGGCGGAGGCAAAGTCGGTTGGTTTATCAATCGAGATGACTATGGGTAGATGGTCTGATGCTAGAGTCAGCATAGGTCGCCACGTTATGCTGTTTATCAGACCAGCGCTGACTATTGTGATGTCTGGCGAGCTACTGCAGTTACCCATAATCCTGGTGGGTGCGTCGTCGTTCATTGTGCAGAATGTCGAATCGTCTATCTGCTCAGCCAAGTAGGTCGTGGCCTTCGATTACTTCTATGTTCATATTTACACCCAAGCACGGTTAGTAGAACTTGAATCCGGTTAAAAAAAAAAAAGATATGGATTTTACATTGGGATTAAAGAAATTACTTAAGATCTAAATATAAGTTTGCTCACATATGAAAGTTAATATATACATATAACACAAATTAGCCCCCTTGCCCAAATTAACGAAGTTTTGTACTTTTGTTTTACAGTACACAGAAATCGTAAACCAACTGAATTAATGTTTTATGCTTAGAATTTAAATAAAATATTAAGAGTCTATATCAAATAATAAGTTATTGGTTGGAGTTTGATCACCAATTGGTTTACTTTATTGATTTCACTTTCTTTTATACCAAATTCTTACACTAACACTTACAAATTATTTACGAACTAGAATGTATACAAATATACTACTAATACCTACAAACTAACTACATAACTCTAAAATATGCTAAGTCAACATATGGTTGCAATAAATATATAAATATGTCAGTCGCATTGACAAACTGACGTTGTGGATCAGTTAGTCACTGCGACTGTCTTTGGCGGTGTCTTTGACCGTCCGCACAAGTGTAACAAGATCCTCGCTATGTGCGATGAATGCAGTCTTTGCATAAACTCCCGCTGAGTTCAATGTAACTGATTTGGGTAAACTGTTGTTTNTCCAAATTAACGAAGTTTTGTACTTTTGTTTTACAGTACACAGAAATCGTAAACCAACTGAATTAATGTTTAATGCTTAGAATTTAAATAAAATATTAAGAGTCCCATAAATATGAAAAGGTTAGGCTCGATACATAAATGTATTATAACTAGTTGTAAGCTGAATTTGTTAATAAAAGAAAGAAATGAATAGTAAAATGGAAGGCTAAGTGTTCTAGTTTGCCTGGTCCTAGGGCAAGTGTAGTTGGATACGTGGGGCTTGTTAATAACACCTCTAAAGCCAATGGTAGGGTTGGGCACAGAAGCAGCCACTGACATCCGGAACGCGCTGCTGGCATGGTGGGGTGTGAGAAAGAGGGGATCACACTATAAGGTTGTGGCACGTTTTTTTTTTTTTGATTATTTTCATGGTTTAATATTCCCAGTGTGTAAATAGAATTCTCGCTTGGGCTGTTGACTGCCAACGACGAGGGTTTATCTGGTGAACACGTATAGGAACCACGACTAACTGAAGCTCCGGGTATAAACGCCAGTACACACGCAATTTAACACTGTTGAATTGTGCCGGTATAACGTGCACCGTCGAGATCGCGAGCGGGATAATGGTGGAGGCGTAGCGTTCATTACGCACCACACAGTGCGGTATCGTCTTATCGAAGCAGACATCGACCGCAGGGATGCCACCCTAGAATGTCAGGGCATCGCTATCCGGTCAGGCGATTTTGAGCTCGAAATATCTAACGTTTATATACCCCCTGTCACCTGCTGCCCGGTAGGATATCACCCTGACATAGGTGCGCCACTCAAGCCTGTCAAACGATCGTAGAGGAACTGACTTGGCTGAGCAGATAGACGATTCGACATTCTGCACAATGAACGACGACGCACCCACCAGGATTATGGGTAACTGCAGTAGCTCGCCAGACATCACCATAGTCAGCGCTGGTCTGATAAACAGCATAACATGGCGACCTATGCTGACTTTAGCATCAGACCACCTACCCATAGTCATCTCGATAGATAAACCAACCGACTTTGCCTCCGCCAAACACCGGACCTATATCAACTTTTCCAAAGCTGATTGGAAAGGTTACGCGGAGTTTACTGAAAACACCTTCGCAGCGCTCCCCACACCAACCGACGTCCATCTCGGTGAACGTAAGTTCCGCAGGGCTATCACTGCTGCTGCAGCTCGCTTCATACCGGCAGGATGTATATCGGACCCACGTCCAAACTTCCCTGCCGAAGCGGCTGTTCTAGCCGATGAGCGTGATAGCCTTCGTCAGGCCGATCCCGGAGATCCCCGTATCAGGGATCTCAACGCGGAGATTCGGCAACTTGTAAACGTACATAAGCGGAAGAAGTGGGAGGAGCATCTGAAGACTTGTAATTTCACCTCTGGTGTGAGCAAGCTTTGGTCAACCGTGAGGTCATTGTCTAATCCGACGAAGCACGACGACAGAGTCGAAATTTCCTTCGGCGACCATGCTTCGTCGGACCCGGAGCGATGCGCGAGCTATTTTAGCCGGCAGTTCATACTGCATCCTCCGGTGGACAAAGCCAAGCGTCGAGTGACCAGAAGGCTGCACAAACTGCCAACAACTTGTGCCCCCCTTGCTTTCACTTGCGGTGAAGTTCAGGTGGCCATCGGGAAGGCGAAAGCCTCCAAAGCCATGGGTCCCGACGGAATATGCATGCTGATGCTGAAAAATTTGGGTCCTGCGGGGGTAGCGTACCTAACGGAGGTCCTCAACCTGTCAATGGCCACTCTCATCATCCCAGACATCTGGAAGGTGGGGAGAGTGGTCCCACTGCTCAAACCGGGGAAACCCGCCAACAAAGGAGATTCGTATCGTCCGATTACACTCCTTTCCCCGGTAGCGAAGACACTCGAGGCCTTGCTACTCCCGTATTTCACAAACCACCTGACCCCAGCGAAGCATCAGCATGGTTTCCGTAAAGTGCACAGTACAACAACAGCACTTAACGCCATAAACACTCAGATAACTCGTGGCCTTAACCGTAACCGTCCCTGTGAGAGAACGATTCTAGTAGCGTTGGACCTGTCAAAGGCTTTTGACACTGTCAGCCACTCCACGCTACTAGAAGATATAGAGGCTTCCTCTCTCCCACAGAGGCTCAAACGGTGGTCGGCGAATTATCTGAGTGGTCGACACTCGTCGGTAATGTTTAGAGACAAATCGAGCAAACTTAGAAAAATAAAACAGGGGGTTCCACAGGGTGGTGTCCTTTCCCCACTACTGTTTAACTTTTACATTTCAAAGCTCCCTCAACCACCAGAGGGAGTCTCGATTGTCTCTTACGCCGACGATTGCTCGATCATGGCGACTGGGAATGGAATTTATGACCTGTGTTCGAAAGTAAACGGATATCTCTCTGAACTTTCTCGCTTCTTCACTGCAAAGTATCTAGCCCTCTCCCCTACGAAATCTCCTGCGACCCTTTTCACAACCTGGACGAAGGAGGTCAGGCTAGCGCTAGGAATTCACGTCGATGACACACCAATTCCGACGGTGAATAATCCAAAAATTCTCGGAGTAACATTCGACAGCCTGCTCTCCTTGTCTGCGCACGCAACCGCTATTGTCAATAAAGTACAGAGCCGCGCCAAAGTCCTCAAGTCGCTAGCCGGAAGTACTTGGGGCAAAGACAAAGAAACGTTGCTGGCAACATACAAGGCAATAGGCCGGCCGGTTTTAAACTACGCAGCACCAGTGTGGTCGCCGGGAACTAGAAGGACGCAGTGGGCAAAGCTACAGACGGTACAAAATACAGCACTTAGGACAGCGACTGGATGCCTCCTGATGTCACCAGAACACCACCTTCGCTTTACAATCATCGCCCGAACCGATTTGTTGAACCAAGGGCACGAGGAAGATCTACCATGGTAAGTGCGAGTTGGAACGTGAGTACAATTGTGAACGTCTAGTAAACGATAATCTGGTGAAAAAACGATAATCTGGTGGAAATGCTATTGCAAAATAAAAACAAATTTCCCCTATTTTAAAACAAATCCATACGGGTCTGTGGGGGAGTAGAGGGGAGGGGTGAGTTTTCATAAAGCGACGTCCTTCCTCTTTCATTTAAGGGGGGTTTGGGGGCCCGCCCTTTCCCCCTCCGCCCTCACTAAGAAAACCGTTGTACAAATAAGCAAACATTTCCCTTTTTTACTCTAATTACGCAGCCTGGTCGCATGTGGAACAGACCTATTATGTCATTACAAAAAAGTGGGGACCTTCAGTTTTACACAGAGTCTGAAATGGTATTTGTGAGAACAATTTTTCATAGAAGATGTAAGCTTGTAGGTTTGGAATTGTCTATTAAAAGAAAAAACTTTTACTTAATCTTACGCGAAAGATTTACTCCTCCACTAACTCGGCTGCGACAGCCGCTACCTTAACCCATTAGTTGAGACAAAATCAATCATCAATCATGTATAAAATTACACATGTGTACATGTATGCAAGATTATCCGCGATTTATACTTACCAACAGACGAAAGCCCATGAGAGTCACTAAGTTTTCCTACGCTGGAGTTAATATTTTGAACGATAGGTTGCTGCATTAATTGAGACGAGACCTGTGGATGCGTTTGCTGACCCTGGCCTTGAAGCTGTTGGTTTAGCATCTCGCCTGATAAAAATCAATAATAGATTTCACAATCAGTAAGCAATAACTGGACACTCTTTAACATAAATTACTAACGCACTTGTAACTTTTTGAAAATTATGAAATTCCACCGATAACTCCAAACTTTAGAAATAATAAACATTTAACATTAAACTTAAATACATATTTCAAAACTTAGGAGTTGTCAATTAGTATTGGAAAACTATCGATGGGGCTATCGATAGTATCGATGGTTTCAATTTAACGCTACTATCGAATTTTTCAAAACACTATCGATAGTTGTATGTTGTTCACATTGAGCGCGCATTCATAAGTCGTAGCTGTTGGGTAACCGTTGGCTATTTGTCTTAGAAACGCACAGTAGAGTAGTTCCCCTAAGCTGTTGACAACTTTCCGCCATTTTTTCCAACGGAAATTTTTGAGGGGAAAATTTTCCAATAATGGACCAGGCTTTGAAAAAAAAATGAGGGGGTTTAGAGCGGCTTTTTGTGATTCTAAATCTGAACACCCCCCTCCGGAGGCTTATAGTTTTTAAGTAATTCGTTGTTAAAGTTGTAAAAAAAGTGCAATTTATCCTCACATTTTCCTTTGCACATCGAGTGAACTGAAATTGCGGTGCTGCCACACATCACAAAAAATGTGTAAAAAAAAGTACTGAAAAGGGAATCAATGCAAACATAAGTAATAAAGTGGACATGTAGATATATGTTATAGCTTTTTTATTGGATATTTTCACTATATATGGAAGAATTGATAAAAAAAAGGGCCGCAGGTGAAAATGTTCAAGGTATGTGGAAGTATTGGATTTTTTAGGCAAAAGCGCCGCAGGCGAAAATATGTAATAAAAAATCGTTAGGTTTTTTATTAAAAATTTTCAAGATATATGGAAGTATTGGATATTTTAGAAAAAAGCACCGCAGGCGAACATTTGTAATAAAAAATCGCGCGATTAATTATTAAAAATTTTCAAGATATATGGAAGTATTGGAATTTTTAGAAAAAAGCGCCGCAGGCGAAAATTTGTAATAAAAAATCGCGCGATTAATTATTAAAAATTTTCAAGATATATGGAAGTATTGGAATTTTTAGAAAAAAGCGCCGCAGGCGAAAATTTGTAATAAAAAATCGCGCGATTTCTTATAAAAAAAATTTCAAGACCGTGAAATTAATATTTTCCTTTTAGCCTTCATTCCCGTAATGCATCACAAAGTATTTTTGGCTAAAAAGAACTATTAACATTTTCCACGATGTGGCACCTCATTCATGACGGCCATCGCTGAACAATTGTGTGTTTACGATTCTTTGAGAATAGAAAAATATTTTAAGAACACTTTTATAAGCATTAATGGCTAAATATTTAGTAAAAAAAAGATGTGCATCCATTTGCTTATGAAGAAAAGATGGTGTATTAATAAAGAGAAACGTGATTAGTGCAGTGTTTATAAAAAAATAATTGTGAAGCATTTGGGAAATTTTAACAACGAATAACTTAAAAACTATTAGCATCTGTACACAAAATGTTGATGAAATCGGTCAATGAGCACCTCCTCAACACCCCTGCGAATTCCATTAAAAAATTCGTAAAACTTTGGAGGCCGGTTACTCAATGTCTGGTTAACACTAATCTCCGGTTAAACATAGTTATCGACGTTACCGACTCCCTGTTGTATGCATGGAGTCGAAGACGTCGATAACGCTGTTTAACCGCAGATTAGTGTTAACCAGACATTGAACAACCGGCCCTGGGTGATATAGGAAATGGTCCCTTATATAAAATCTCAGCCATTAAAATCGCTGCAGAAAACACATTCAGGGCCGGTTACTCAATGTCTGGTTAACACTAATCTCCGGTTAAACATAGTTATCGACGTTACCGACTCCCTGTTGTATGCATGAAGTCGAAGACGTCGATAACGATGTTTAACCGCAGATTAGTGTTAACCAGACATTGAGTAACCGGCCCTCAATCGCTAAAAAATCACTACGAAGAGGTAGAAGACGGTGTAAACAAAATCGAAAAGCGTCAAAAACGCTACGAACACTTTTTTCTGAAAATCGATTACAAATACAACGATAGCTGATTAGATGATCTGTAGACGTTGGTTCATGCTTCCCCTCCGATACTTAAGGCTCTGTTATGCATACTTGGCATTGCATGCACTGCTATACCATTTTTACGTAGAAATCAAAAACCAACAGACTTCTACGTATGTAGTGCTGTGCGTTCGATAACCGATTACACGCGAGGCTCATTTAACAGATTTCTTATGTGACAGCTCTCAAGCCATGCCAAGTNAATGCCAAGTATGCATAACGGAGCCTTTACTCAAGCCCTGATACTTTCTGGCGATACTACCCAACAAGCATTTCAGTAAACGTTTTTAAAAATAAATTAAGTTTGCTATAATAAGCGTTAAATAAGCATTTTTAATATTAANACGCACAGTTGAGTAGTTCCCCTAAGCTGTTGGCAACTTTCCGCCATTTTTTCCAACGGAAATTTTTGAGGGAAAAATTTTCCAATAATGGACCAGGCTTTGAAAAAAAAAAATGGGGGGGGTTTAGAGCGGCTTTTTGTGATTCTAAATCTGAACAGCCCCCTCCGGAGGCTTATAGTTTTTAAGTAATTCGTTGTTAAAGTTGTAAAAAAAGTGGAATTTATCCTCACATTTTCCTTTGCACATCGAGTGAACTGAAATTGCGGTGCGCTAATCGGTGGAGCATTCGAGTCTTCAAATGATGAGTTCCCCTTATCCTTTCTTAGTTTAACATTCAATTAAAAATGTATTAAATTTTTTTCAGAAAAGTTCATCAATGAGAATGGCGGCGATGAAGCGGAATATATAGCTGCATCGATGTCGCTTTGCCAATTTGCCAATAGCCGCAAGTAATTGAAGGCACGCAACAAGATGTAATAATTAACTTTTTTATGCTTAATTTGTATGTGTTATTGTGAATTTGTATGCTAAAATGTCTATTCCCTATTTATATTTTCGCGACTGTAGATGAGTCCGCCGAAAATTCGCATTTCGTTTAGTTTCTATATGTTAAGCAATCTATGTATGAGTTTTTAATGAAATATCTTTAAATTAAGGGTTATAAAAATGTTTATAAAAAGCTTTCTTTTGAAAATTTTTAGTAAGTTTATATTGATACGCTTATAAAAAAACTTTTTTTGAACCTTTATTATAAGTTTACACTTTTACGCTTATAAAATGCTTTCTTTTGAACATTTATTAAAAGTTTATATTTCTACGCTTATAACCAATGTTCCTTTTCGATTATACTACGCTTACTTTCAAGCGTTTTATAAACAAAAAATCAACGTTTTGTAAGCTTAATGTTTATAATTGAAAACTTAAAAAAAACTTTCTTTAAGTTTATTTTGCTTGTTGGGTAGTAGGAAGTAAAAGTTTCGAAACTTTATTTTATTGCTTGATTCCTAAAGGCGCCCGTTACACGATCAATACGGATCTTGATATTGGGATTATGATCAATATTGACGGATCTAAAAATATTGATGGATGGTAAGTGTATGCTAAACGTTCAATATTTATCGCGTCAGTATTTGCATAATTTTTGTGCTGCACGCTTTTATGGCGTAAGAAAATATTTCGTACCAATAATGCATTCCATAATTCTTTTAAAATTTCTAATGTTAATGCTTTCAATTTGTTTTGGAAGGTTCTAAGCGCCGAGCGCGAATATGTTTTCGATGTTCGCATTATGAGAGTACAAAATGAACTGACGAAATGTATGGATCGCGTTTTGAATAACGTACACCTTCAACATTTATTGCGCGATCCACGATCCGTGGTCCGGATTTCAAAATTTCTACATATTTAGCGATCCGTATCGTATCACGAACCATCAATATTTGATGCTACACCTTCAATAAAAATCACGATCCAGGATCGCGATCCGTATTGATGGCGCCAAAAGGCTCAAACACGCATTGATTTATCGGCCAACAAGTTGACCAACCAACTTAAGGTGTTCTTACAGGTTACGTATTTACATCTGTAGATGTGACTTTTTCAATACTTATGTAATTGCGTATGTCCGTCAAATTACAGTCTTTATTTAACTATTTAAATATGCGTTCTTTGAAAACGAAATAAACTAAACTCAGATGGTTCTATCTGTGTGTCAGATGAAAATAGAGACATTTCTAGTTCGTATGTAGGTGCATCAGAAACAAATCTTATATGCCTTTACACGATACGTTACGATTATGTTATTGCTACCGCCCCCGTTTTCACATATTATATGCATTTTCGCTAGCGAAACTAACCGAAAAACACATGTTAACGTTAATGCGCCTTTAAAAAAAATGAAATCGCATATTTCGTTGCCAACATGTTTACACACAGAGCAACAAGTTGACCAATCAGCCTCAAAAATCAAAAATCATAAGGTTTTGAATCTTTTCCAACCTGACCAGCAACTTGACGAAGGTTTGCCAACTTGCCTACACACGGCTTATATACCACCAACTTCTAGCGGTTGGCCAACTGGTTGGCCGATAAATCAATGCGTGTAGGGCTTTAACCCACCTTCACAAACTTTTTTCTCAAACCCAGTTGTGGCCACGTCACTCAACTTTTAACGCACGTAAGTCCGTCACTGCTGACAGTTGTATAACCCCGCGTTTACACCAGACAAGTCCAAAGAAAATATGCACATAATTATATATGCACATATAATAATACACATTGATTGAGTAAAGTAGGCATCCAGACAATAAACTGTGAAAAAAACTGTGTAAAAAAAATGTTTTGCTATTGTATCCGAAAAATTGGCTTGTGTAAACCCCATCTCTAATCCGGACTAGGGATGCAACATCGCACTTAAAAACATAGGCGCGTATTCATAGTCCAGCAACTAAGTCGAAACTAACAAAGTTGCAACTTAAATTTAATTACCAACTTAAAATTTACCTCTCGACTTAGTTTACGATATAGCAAAACGAGTGTGAAAATGTACCGATTTTTCTTTACGATATTTTGGAAAAATTACATTTTTATTAAATAATATCAAGTTTGATCATCCGTTTATGTAATTTTTATTTTCATTGCATGATTATGCAAAAGAATAAGGTATCATTTTCTTGTTAATTGTGTGAAATAGCCAGAACAACCGCAGTGATGTGAAGTCGATGTTTATCGAAAGCATGCTGTGAAACATACAAATAGTAGATATCTAAATGTTATGCACAAATTTACT